AAACACTATGGATCCGGCTCAGGAAGTGTCCATTACAAGAAGAAGGCTTTGGGTTCAGCAGGATATGGCTCTGGAGGTGGAGGCAGTGCTCACTACCACAAGAAGAAACACTATGGATCCGGCTCAGGAAGTGTCCATTACAAGAAGAAGGCCTTGGGATCTGCTGGATATGGTTCTGGTGGTGGAGGCAGTGCTCATCACCACAAGAAGCAGCACTACGGATCAGGAAGTGTTCAGTACAAAAAGAAGGCTTTGGGTTCAGCTGGATATGGTTCTGGTGGTGGTGGAGGCAGCGCTCATCACCATAAGAAGAAGCACTATGGATCAGGAAGTGTTCACTACAAAAAGAAGGCCTTGGGCTCTGCTGGAAGTTACCGTAGTGGTTTCTATGGTAGTGGTAGTGGTAGTGGTAGTGGTAGTCAGCGATCAGGTGCTGGTGGTGGCAGTTATTGGAATGGGCATGGAGGGTCTGGTCATGGAGGATCTCATCACGGTGGTTCAGGATCAGTTGGATCTGGCAGCTTTGGAGGTGGTAGTGGAGGATCTCATCATCATCATGGAGGCTCAGGATCAGCAGGACATCATCATGGAGGTTCAGGCTCAGGATCAGCAGGACATCATCATGGAGGTTCAGGCTCAGGATCAGCAGGACATCATCATGGAGGTTCAGGCTCAGGATCAGGAGGACACCATCATCATGGAGGAGGACACATCATCATGGAGGTTCAGGATCAGCAGGACATCATCATGGAGGTTCAGGCTCAGGATCAGCAGGACATCATCATGGAGGTTCAGGCTCAGGATCAGCAGGACATCATCATGGAGGTTCAGGCTCAGGATCAGCAGGACATCATCATGGAGGTTCAGGCTCAGGATCAGCAGGACATCATCATGGAGGTTCAGGCTCAGGATCAGCAGGACATCATCATGGAGGTTCAGGCTCAGGATCAGCAGGACATCATCATGGAGGTTCAGGCTCAGGATCAGCAGGACACCATCATCATGGAGGTTCAGGATCAGCAGGACATCACCACCACGGAGGATCGGGATCAGGAGGTCATAACCACCACGGAGGATCGGGATCAGGAGGTCATAACCACCATGGATGCTCAGGATCAGTTGGATCTGGCAGCTTTGGAGGTGGCAGTGGAGGATCTCATCATCACCATGGAGGATCCGGATCAGCAGGACATCACCACCACGGAGGATCTGGTTCAGGAGGTCATAATCACCATGGAGGCTCAGGATCAGTTGGATCTGGCAGCTTTGGAGGTGGCAGTGGAGGATCTCATCACCATCATGGAGGATCAGGATCAGGAGGACATCATCACCATGGAGGATCAGGTTCAGTTGGATCTGGTAGCTTTGGTGGTGGTAGCGGAGGATCAGGAGGACATCACCACCATGGAGGATCAGGATCAGGAGGACATCATCATCATGGAGGATCAGGATCAGGAGGACATCATGGAGGATCAGGATCAGGAGGACATCATCATCATGCTGGATCAGGATCAGTTGGATCTGGCAGCTACGGAGGCAGTGGTGGACATCATCACCATGGTGGATCGCACCGTGGCGGATCTGGCCACTACCGGGCACTGGCAGAAAATGAAAATGAATCAAAGACAGTCGATGACTCCACAACTGGCGACAGATTCGATGATTCCGCGGCAATTGTCGAAAACGCGGATGACTCTGGAAACGACAAAGCACTCTCTGAAAGCCCAGCATCAGAAACAACGGAGGAAACACAAGAAGCGGTTGCTGCTGAATCTGAACGCCAACTTGCCGGTGACATGGCAGAATCGACAACCGGGGGTGACACCACAGGCGAAACATTGGACGAAACAGCACCCGTTGAAACTACATTTGAAGCCGCTGATGAACCACAACGCCAACTTCGTGGTAGCAAGTCATCTTCCGTCAGTGAATAAACTCACAACCTGCCGTGAAAGATACGCCGAAGATGTCCATCGAAGCGCACACAGGGAACAGTCAAACTCCATCAATTTTCTTTTCCCCTTTCGGCTGAAGTCTTCCTTCTCCTTGAGTTTCCCAACTCACACCGTACATCACTCATTCCGACAACAATAACATGCACGCTGGCATGTGACGGTTGCGCGTCATATTTACTTGGACGCTGACAACGACGAAAAGTGCTGTACTGTTTTGCGCTGACAACATGTATATGATGGTTGTCTCGTACCTGCGCAAAGTTGCTATCACTGGTAGCTATTACTCCTTTTAAAACTATAGTTCTTGATCTTTTGATCTCTGTTACAAAACTAGCTTGATTTACCATGGTAGTGCAGTATGATCGATCAACACCATTACTCCAGTAGTGCGTAGACCAAGCAAGGCGCTCCAGGACAAGAGTACCGTGCCACATATATCTGTACCGGTACCCTAAGGGACTTCGTTGGCAGCTGTCTATTTTGGAGGGCTCTGACTCGACTCGACTCGACTCATTGCGTCACGCCCAGGAGGCCCGCTTCCTGAAAGGAGCAGCGACGTCGGCGGAATCGAATGGAAATCAATCGGCATCGCATGTCGAATCGGCAATGGCGAGGGAGAGACGACCCGCATAGTTTGGAGAGGACTTTTATCACAACGATTGGGCAGAGTGAATAAGCGAAGGCGAGAGTACTCGTGACTATCTATCTCATCCAACCTTGTAGACTCCGTTTAAAAGTCTTTTTGCTGGACGCATCCTCTCGTTGGCGGGAGCTCGAGGCTGCTCGAGTCATAATCTGCCCACGCCTTGAGCGCTTTCGTAGCTTTACTTCGCGGCCTCAAAGGATTCTTTTGCAGCTACTTTTAGTTGTCATTTGACGTTTCCGATGAGTTTCCTGATCGCAGGCAGCCGATTAGATGGATGTCATTCTATCTAGTAAACTACATTCTCGTACGACTGTACAGCACTGGCTATCTACCGGCACCCAAGAGGTGCATTGGGCGTGTTCGGATTTCGCTTGCGTATCGACCGCTCTTCCATCCATTGAACACAAAAGGAGATGAATTGGAAAACAGCCAACTTCAGAGCAATCTGCTGCCCGGGTTGCCCCTCACGTTCATAAATACTTGCGGAACCGCATCAGAAAAATTGGGCTTGGAGTGACAATTGAGGCAGGGGATCTGAGGGCTTAATATGGCACGATTCTTTGCATTTATCCAGATAGATACCAAGACGGATAGGACGGGAAGTCTAGACTAGTTAGTTTTGCTTCTGCTGGAGATATTGTTAGATGTACGGTACCGGTACCGTACTATTAATAGTACGGTACATCCCTCGGGGTTCCTTGGTCCACGCAGCCGTTGTTTTCTCGGGTCAAAATTGTAGCGGGACAAGCAGAAACGTGTGCTCCTCCCGTGATATTTCGTAATTAAGCTTCTTCGTGTCTCATGAGACAAGTTTGAATTTTAAACAATTTTGAATTTGCTCACTCTTCAACTTTTGGCTCGGAACCTCCTCCCAAAGCTGCTCCGGTGGCAGCTCAGTTCTCCCCACTAATTGAATTCATTTGCTGGTACGGTACGGTACGGTACGGTACGGTAGCATCACCATGGCGTCCTTGTCAAGACGGCTGTTGAGTGTGGCTCTCTTGTTGCTTCCATGGAAAGTGATCCCAATCGAAATCGAGCGCCGAAATCTTCGACAACAAGCACTAGAAGGCAGCCAAAACACGATGACACGGTTGGGTGACGATGATGACAGTCAAGCGATTGGTGAATCTCTTGTCACTACGGGGAATTTCTTGGAGAGTGTCGTTAACAATGTGCAAGAACTATTAGAGACACCAGGGGTTTATCTCAGCGAGGCAAATGACGACAATGCTGTTCAGGAGGATGACCATGACGATGACGATGACGATTTCTTTGATGACGACGACGATGTTGTGGATTTGGGAGAAAGCAGTAGTAGTAGTAGCGACAGCAGCAGCAGTAGTACTAGCAGATCTTATTCTAGATCAAGAAGCAGCAGCAGCCTGGCAAGAACGAGCAATGGCTACGGAGCAATGACAACTCTCAGTCGCCGCCATTTGATCTCGAGAGATTTAGAAGGGAAAAAGAGCAACAGGGAACTCTTTTTATGGCCATTTGAAACGAAGAAAAAGAAGAAGAAGAAGAAAAAGAAGAAAGCAGCGGCAACGATCGTCGCAGCAACAGTATTGAAGAAAAAGAAGAAGAAGAAAAAGTCTAAGAAGGTACGTGTATCCATGATTGATGGAATAATTCCATGGAATGATGCTTCGGTATCCACAGCTAACAAATTGACCATGTTGATATCTATATAGGGAGGTTTTGGATTTTTTGGCAGCTCCAGCAGCAGCAGTTCGAAGGGTTCCTTTTGGAGCAAGGGCAGCAAAAGTAGCAAAAGCAAGGGCAGCAAAGGCAGTAAAAGTAGCAAGTCCTGGTCCTGGTTTGATTCATCGTCTTCGAGCTTCAGTGGGTCAGGATCCTACTCCGGATCGGGTTCTTTTTCTGGATCTGGATCTGGATCTGGATCTGGATCTGGATCATACCACTTAGTAGGTGGTTCTGCATCCCATGGGAGATCAACTCACCATCACTACTACTACAATGGCGGCGGAGGATCCCACAGAGGTTCTGGTAGAGGATCACACAGAGGCTCGGGTAGAGGATCGCACATACGTTCTGGCAGGGGATCCCACAGAGGCTCGGGTAGAGGATCCCACAGACGTTCTGGCAGGGGATCCTACAGAGGCTCTGGTAGAGGATCTCACAGACGTTCCGGCAGAGCATCGCACAGAGGTTCCCACCAAAGTTACCATTCGGGGCGTCATACCGGCTTTGTCGACAATACGCAGTCCTATTATCGATCCCATGGTCATGGAAATGCACATGGGCACGGTGGTGGCGGAGGAGGATCCTATGCGGCGTCGGATAAATATCACCACCGAAGCTTTCAGTCGGCCAGCAACCCATTCTCGGGAGGTTCTCATCGGCGCCAATTAAAGGAAGAAGAAAACGACGAGGGTGACTACAGTATCCGTCCCTCCGAGTCTCCCAGCGTCCGTCCTTCCGAATCTTCCATTGCAGGTCCCCCCGAGTCTCCCAGCGAGAGGTCAGGCATCACGCGCAGCGAGCGACGGCCATTGAGAGGACGCCGTCGACGCAGATCCCGTCGGACTATGACGTATCGTCGGCGTACCATGGTGCAATAGGTTGCTGGCTGGTTGGCAGATAGAGTCCCACACGAGCCCTCATTGAATTGAGTGGCCTCCCAATCGAAGCGATATTTTGGTTGTTTCGTCCAGCTGGGTTATGTTGATTTGTACGCTTGAACCAACATCTGGCATGGATCCTGGGGAATGAAAAAAGAGGGTATTGCATTTATACAACTCGAGTAGACAGCTGTTTCGGTTGTCTTGTGGCTCGCCCTTTCGGTGAGGATGTATGTGATGTTATGGTCGCAGTACAGTATTGGGAGTCGGACTGGCTACTGGAACCTGCGAATACTTCCTTGTAATAATTTTACTATAATAGATCACAGAGTTACCGCACTTGTCGGCTATTTTTAAGCGAGCTTAGTTACTACTAGCTAGTATTGTGAAGACTAGCTGGCTAGGACTTGTCCCGGAGAAAGTCGTGCTGCTGCTACGGTTGGCCCCGATACTTGTAGATAGATGATGCATAGATAATATTAAACCGATTTGGTTAGAGAGATGTGGAGGTCGTTCCAGGCAAGTGCCCTGTCTCTGCTGGTGCAAACCGTGCATCGCTGTTGGTTCCACTTTGCTTCATCAATGCCACACGTACTTTTACTAAGGGGCCACACGCTGGAAAATTGTAGTGCTTCTAGATCTGCTTTGATTTGGGACACGAATCAGGGATCAGGGAAGTCTTGCCAGTAACGACTGTGGAGACTGTTGGCTGGTGGGGACTGACTGAGACTCAGTGACTCTGCATCATTGCGGACTTGACGTGGATTGAATCCGTAAAAGGCAGACCCAGAAATAGGCAGCTTGCCCCAAACTGCAAGTCAGTAGTATCAAACTCCATACACAACATCCGTTCGCAAAATGTACTTGAGTCCTTGCACGACAGGATCTGCTTCATGTTCCAAACAGCGATCGCCATGAATGTGCAGCAACATGGCCCCCTTTTGGGGACTAAAGGCGATACTCTTTTCCTTCTTCTTGCCCGTAGGATGATAGAACCGAGTCGCTCCTCCTTGACAATCGGACAAATATACCAACACGGTGACTTCGGTCTGTCCAATTCCCGCCACTGCATTGCTCTCATCAATGTGTTTGCCAAAGCTCATGCCTTTTTCGTATTTGTAGAGTCGAATGTTGGGATTGCAGGCTCGTGGTTGGATTTCGTTTGGAAAGGCGAGTGTCGGCAACACTCCACACTGCTGTATGCGTTCAAATAACGTGTCAGCAATACGGTTGTCGTTTCGTTGCCATCGAAAGCATTCTCGATGCGCCATATAGCGACTGGCCGGATGCTGCACGTATTCCAACGTTTGCTGGGTTTCGACCAAGTCGATCCATGCCTGACATTCAGTGTCCGTCAAAAAATTATGGACTACACCAATGAAACCGGGGAGTAGCTCTTCCACAGAGCATTTCTTGGGCGATATCTTGGAGGCCGGCAAGAGGAGATTGGAGGGTAGCTCTGACGATGACGGTTTGGAATCCTTCACGGACGAAACTACTGTCGTCTCCTTCTTGGCCTTTTTCTTCTTTGGCATCTTTCACAACAGGTCAAACCAACCAGTTCAGATAGAGTCGAGTCGAGCTAGCTACGGTAGCACTCTTATTAGCCTGCAAGTAGGAGAGCTGCAGCGTCCGGAAGAGCTGGTCTTGAGCATGCAAGAGGGCTCTGTTGGCGGCGTTGTGTTGGTTGTGTTGTGTTGTGTGCTTGGATTTGCTAACCCACACATAGCTACAGTAGGGTTAGGGTAAGCATATCTTTCCCGTTAGGGTACAATGCAGAGAATGAAGACCGGAGATGCCAATGACAGAAGTACCTGTACCGGTAGCAACGAAGACGACGATGAGTGGAGTGAAAGATATAATCATGGCCGAAGAACCACACATCAAGAAGAGATCTTGGAAGACAATGTAGCAGTGGTATCCATGGCACCAAGAGCCTTCGTTCCCACAACTCCCCGCGGACACTCCTCCAATCAAGAAGTGCGGATTGGTATTCAGTCTACTGCGGTGATACTACTCGTGGCCACCAGAGCATCGGTAGCAGCTGTACTGCTTTCCCAGAAAAGCCAAGACAACTACAGCAATTCTTCAGTACCACCCAACACGCTACAACCTACGCTACTCCAGCTCCATCAATCACTCCAAGCGCTACCATCAGCAGCATGGTTCCTACAGTTATGTGCGGTTAGCTACTTGCAACGAGACTTACACCTGTTTCCACAATCTTGCACAATGCCTACAGTCGCCAAGGCAAGGCATGGACGTGGTTACAGTGAGATATGGAGCAAATGTTTGTTGATCAAGCATTGTCATAACAGCAAAACACAACAGAAGTAGAAGGGAGGACCAAATCTCAGGAGTGAGGGAACAAACTTACATGTACTTGTGCAACGGTTTGTCTTGGTGAAAACTTACTACCTGGGTATGCCACAAATGGACCAGGTTGGCAATCTCAAAGGTTGCGGTTGGATCATGCCTCCACATAATGCAACTGGTGGCCTCATGTACAATACAAGTATGTATGTTGTATGGCCACACCATAACCAAGGGCCAAGGGTTTCCAATGAACAAGTTTTTTACACCTCACTATTGTCAGGTGACAATGGATTGCAGGGCGACCCTCTTCCGGTGGAGCTGGTGCTTCTCAATCATTTGACTGCTCTGGATGTTTCTGGGAATCCTGATGGCCTGACGGAGGGATCCATTCCAGGTTGCAACAAAACCAGTGCAGCTTGGATTACTACCCAGAAACAAGCATGGTACCACATCATGCAAACCTGCACGCACTTATACCATCCCTGGAGGAAGGAAGGCAAATCTTAGGTCGCTGGTAACTCCCACGACGCACACCAGTCTGGATTTCGGTTGCATCTTCGCTCCGTACACCTTGTGCCAACCAACTGTCCTTTGGAGATGGGATGTGGCACGAAGGTTGTCAGCAGAGCTAGCCGAGCAGCCCGCATACCATGACGCGGCCAAGAACCAACTGTCCTTTGGAAGCTATGGTGAGATGTTGGAAGGCTTGTCAATCGGGATCGTGCCAGTAGTCAAGAGCGTCCCAGACGTTCCGTTGACTTGCGGCAATCAACCGTCGACCAGCATAGTTATGCTCGTAAGTAGGAGAGGCAATGAAACAATACATGGCAACAATCCAGACGCTCGATCCACTTCGCAAGTCTACTAGAGGTGTCTAATATCATAGCGCTTCTTCTGTGCTGGTACATGTAGGCATGGCAGGCAGCATAATGGGATGGATTCAGGTTGCCAACGCAACCAGCCCAGCCAACAACTCAGCCTCGGGACAGCCATCGCTACCGGCAAGCAAAATGCATGTAATATCACAAACACTGCTTTCAATAGGTGAGACCCAAGGTGCAGAGACGTGGCTCGCCTCTTGCTTCGGTGGTCTCCAGTGTGGAGCTGTTGGCTTCTTTTCGATACAATGCATGCATCGATGAAAAGATGATGGATTGCTGAGCACCAACAAAGGTGGCTGAGGTGTCAGCCATCACTGTGAATGGATGCGGATCCAAATCAAATCTGATAGCCCCTGGATTCTTGAGGAAAGGAAGCGTTGAGGCGTCAGTCTATTGACCACGGTAGACTCTAACCCAGGCAATGTTATAAAACATGGCTGATGCATGAGGTTTGTTATCAAACAAATAATGATTTTCACGATCAGGTCGTGAACAACGGATGTACAAACGACCCTGCACAAAAAAGCTTTCTGTTAACTGTGTTAGAAAGCGCTTTGACTATCACGAAGCCGAATGTGCACCATTCTGGCATAAACACCATCCCATAAGAAGTCTAAGGAAGACCAGAAAGAAGATACTTAAAAGACTATGACGGGCATATTTAAATATCAAAAAAGTCAGGGCACTCCACATCACAAAAACCCCGATCTAAATGATGATGCCCCCACACACCTAGAAAGTCTCAGAAAACCACAGAAAGCCATTCGCACAAAACACTTGTAAGCGCCAGATTCACATCAGCAGCTTTCACAGCAGAGTTCACGAAGCTGTTCACAATCATTTCATGCTGTTGTTTGATCAGCTTCTTTTGCTGCTGACGATAGAGCGTCCTACTGCCCATGTCCCATGTGATTAATGGTACCGAGCATGATGGTTCCAGAGTGTTACTGGGTTTCTGTGTTGTGATCTGCTCTGATCTAACAGTCCAAAAAGAGTACAACAGCACAGCACGTAAAACCATTGCGTGTGCCATGGCATGTCTGGACACAGCTTTCCTAAGCTCTTTCGCATTGACCCAGACATCTTGCGTGGCTCTACAATGATGTGTCGGTTGGCTTAGATCATTGGAAACGGTTCTGCTACTGAATCCGAAGCTGGGAGGATCTTTGAAAGATGGATCAGTCCTCACAATTTTTATCTGAGACAGATTCCTCTCACATTCTCAATCAGAAACAACAACTCCACCACACGATGATGGCTCCTCCTCAAATTGACATTGTCGAGACTTTGTTTCGCGAAGCTGCCCGTATCAACAGCAGCGCCGTGATCGAAGCAGCGAGGGGAAACGCTGCCGATGCAAGCTTGATCTTTCGCCATGCTCTCGAGGTGATCAGTCACATTAATGTAGAAGGACAGGATACTCCAGCGATGGAGGCAACTCGTCGCTCCAGGAATTTCTCTGGTCTGCAATTGCAGCTATCGAGCGATGATGACGGCTTTTGTGTTTACAACATGCTCCTGACGTTTGAACAGGCTGCTCGGCCAACCAGCGCAATGGATCTTTCAGTATACAGCTCTGCCATTATTTTCAACTTGGGTCTTATCTTCCACCAACATGCCGTGGATATTGGATCCATCAAGTTCTACCAAGCCGCTGATCGCATGTACGAAAAATGCTTGAACATCCTTCAAGCATTTCCAGCCTTTTGTGATCCGGACATGGATACCTTGCTGCTGGCAGCATTGAACAACCGAACACACATTGGCTTCAAGATGGGTACCTTTGACAGTGAAGACCATTCCTTGACAAAGATGCGCGAGATTTCCTGCATGCTACTTTTCTCCCCTGACGCTACCATGCCACGACATGTGGAAGCGTCCATGGTCAATGAAATCCTCATCAACTCTATGCTTTCTGGTCCTGGTTGCGCTGCATGCGCCTAAAACCCTTCCTCCTCCTGCCTCCTGGCTGACCAGGCCAAGCAAAAAAACCAATGATTTAGCACTATTGCCACCCACCTTTTCGGTTGGAACCTCTAGTCGGGCAACGTGCATCTGCATAATTAGCAATGACATCTTTTACATAACTCATGACTAAATACTTTCATAATGAAACTTGACAACAATAGTACTGGTCGTTACGGCTCATCAGCAAAGGAAGACTTTCTTACAATCAAAGAGACTTTGCGACAGCTTCTAGTAGCTCCCACCATGATTTTCCATCCTAAAACATCTCATACAAGCCATTTTCATTCACTACATGGCGGTACGTGTAGCTCACTTTCAAAGGCATCACTAAAGCAGACAACGACGGCAAAGATGCCAAGACACAGAGTGGGTACCTGTAGCTCTGCTTCAACAGCACTCTAGGAACGCAGTCTGCCTAGTACTACATGTAACGGTATAAGGAGCTATTGGGGCCATTGGAGCCCCACCTGAGTTGGAGAGACTGCTGATGGCATGCCCTCCAGCACAGGGCTCCCAAAGCTACATCATGTTGAATGCTGGAGGCATCAACGTGCACTTGAGGTTGATTTCTAAAGGCGGTGCAGTTACCCAACTAAGCAACGGGATGAACCTTCCCAGTTCGGCTAAGAAAGTTGCTAGTTGGGGCCATTGGAGCCCCACCTGAGTTGGAGACTGCTGATGGCATGCCGCCATCCAGCACATCAGCACATGGCTGCCAAAACTACATCATGCTGGAGCCATCAACGTGCACTTATGGTGCCTTGATGCTGTTCAGCTACTCAAGAGCTACCGTACTGAACTAAGCAACGGGATGAATATGCTTCTCGGATTAGCGGGCCGTTCGGCTCAAAGAAAGTTGCTAGTCTGAAACCGGCTGGAAAAGGGGCATAACAAATGCATGGCAAGTGCGCGTCCTAGCTATTGTCTCGCATCAGCTCCACCAACACGTACTCGAGCCTCTGAATCTTTTTCCAAACCATGATTACTCAGCAGAGCTCCCAGCAGCCCCTTCCGTTCCCTGTCCTAGCCAAACTATGATTAATCAGCAGCAACATAGTATAGCCTTGTTGGCATCCCAACATCTTGTCTCAGGTGAATAAACTACGAAGTAAAGGCACGATGCGGGTATGTATATTGATTAACTCTTGCTACCTCTTGGGCATCGCTCCTCTATCTTGGGGCTTTGTGGTTGTTCCAGATGCTGCCTATCCCATCAAGACTTCCCTTAAGGCATCGCCGCGTGAACCCTTGGATACTGAAGTCGTTGGTCGAAGGGCACTGCTGCAAAATGCTGCCGGGACGGCGTTGATTAGTGCAACGTCTCTCCTCTTTGGCCTCCCATCTGTGGCGTCTGCTGCATCCTTCACGGCAGGAGGAACCCTGGTGGACCGTGAAGTGGGAGTCCAAGTGGGCAACCCCGAAGCCAGCGCCTCGCGCAAACCGGATAATTCCAATGTCATTTTTGACAAGGACCACTACTTCAAGTTTGGAGTCGCCGCTCCGTGGATCGAAAATGGCAGCACAGAGTTCCCCAAGTCCATGCCGTTTACACCCTCGCAGCAACGCTATGATGCCTTGAAAAAATACGGGAATCGAGTCCGCAGTGGGGCAGAGTTTATTGGTAGCTTGGATACAGCCTCCATTCCAGATCCTGCCACCGCTCCCGAGTATTCCCTTCGGGCCATGGGGCTCTTGGCAAACAGCTTCTTGGCATCGGAGAATACTGGGGCTACCAATGAACTGTTTCTCGCCAGATGGTACATTAATGAGATTTTTTTGCTGTTGAATGATGCTAGAGCCGCTGCTAGCCCAGAAGAAGCCACTGCATTCTACAAAAGTGCCAAGAAAGCGACAAACTCCTATCTTGGACTCTTGAATCGAGTCATCAACGCAAAGGTTGGCGATCCTTTTGCAATGCTATCCGTGTAATTATTGCTATCCCATGGACAGGACCAAGACGACTGGGTTGGTTGTCAGGATGCAACAATCACATGATTCATCTAGTATCTTGATGGATTCCGGCTTAATTGAACGCCGCCTTGGAGCAACAACTGCATCCAAATAGCAGGGAGCCTACCAGAATATTTGCACCTCTATCGCGCTATCTAGCAAGCAATCTTCCGTTCCAGCGAAGCAAATACACAGCAACTAAAATAGCTATGCTTCCTTGGGCAACACATACGTCTTTTGTTGTCTCATCTCTTCCAGGAACAACTTGGTATTCTGTCGATAGACAAAGAATTGTACAAACATGACAAAGTTCAACAGGGCACTCACAGAGTACCAAGAAAGGGCTGCCATGTCAAATCCAACTTCTTTAATGGTGGTCAATATCCTCCCCAAGTTTCCACCCAAACTAATGGCCGTAGTGACAATGGACTGTGTACCCGTGTGTTGTATTGAGTAGGCTTCCATAATCTGGTTGCCTCGGGCATATGCCATGAGGGGTAGCACGGACGACATTAACAGATAATACCGTGACGGTGGTAGAAAATGCACGACATTGAAAATGTACAGGACAGAGAGGCATGTCACTTGTAGCTTTTCTTTTTGCGTTGTTACCAACCGTGTCGTCGAGTGGATTGTAGAAGGATTCTCTATTAGCGAGGAAGTGGATGAAGGAGCCTTGTGGGATCCTTTTTTGGGATGATCCTCGGAATACTGCCACATGAGAAGCATCATCATGGTACATTGCAACGCGATGGCGACATTTTCGCCATATGCTGTAAAGGGAAACCGTTGCAAGTACCCGTAGAGTGTCGCATTGACCATGATGATGGTTTCCCCATAAATGGAACTCTTGGGTAGCCCTGCCACCGACTTGGATTGGACAATGTTGACCAATGTGGGTGCCTTGTTCAGCATGGCCCCTGCAATCATGGAAATTCCCATGCACTTGACCACCACTTGCATCCAACAGTCGTAAATCATGTGAAAGGGGAGACCTGCCAAACAAATGTCGGGCGAAATGTTGGGATTGGGAGTGCTACCCCAGATCCATTTTCCTATCGACGCGACCAAGGGAGACTCTAAAATGGAATTTCTTATCATGGTTGTTATGGAAGATTGGAAGCCTCTTTATAGTAGTATACACTTTGAGAATCAATCTGCCTAAAAGGTGCCTGCTCCACTTCGTTGGCTTTGGGCTTTGGGCTGCCGTCCTTTCCGCTTGCCGTTTTTGTTGTCGCCAATGCAGCCAGATCGAAATTGTTGGCTTGTCACCTGATATCGCCCTGCGTCATGTCGAAAAATTAAAGGGTTAAGGATACCGGTCTGTGGATTGCGGTTGCTCACGTGCGCGCCGGACCAGTTGGGTGTGGGAGTGGTGTGGGAATGTACTTTACGTAGTATTGGTGCGGTCGCGTTTGTTGTTATTACCCGGTACGTACCCCCGGTCCCGGAACAATCCTGCACTGCGTGGGCTCCCAATCACTCTGAGGGAGGACCTTGTGGTTACTAGTACGGCAATAGCTGCCTGAAGGTTGTCAAGAATATATATTATGCGAAGTAAAGGGCAGTTGTTGGAACTTCTGCATGCTAACGAAGTCAAATGGAAAAAAGGCTAGAACTTCTGCTACGAGCAATGGAACATCCACGATCCACGAGAAGGTTTGTCACGAATGATCCATCGAATGTTGGCCTTCGTTTTATTTCGTATTCTAAAGAGAGGGCCCTGGGGCTTCTGTGTTATTGCATACTAAAGGTTCTCACAATGGACTTGGTTCTTCTTCTGGGTGAATTTGAAGAGGCTTCTCCCGGAGTCACGGATACGCTACTATCGGCAAAGCTGCAACAAAGATACGAAGCGTGAAAGGGCCGAAAATCACGATTTGCCCAACCCCAATCAGAAATACGAAGCCGAAACTATAAAATTGAAACGGAAACAAAACTGAAACCAAATTTGCTACCTTCATAATGTAATAAATAGTAAAATCAAACCGAAACACCCAAGTCCAAACACCTATATTAGTAAAATCGGAGCACCAGGAAATAACTGTAAATCCCCATTCCGGGCTGTTTTATCGAACTTGCTCAAAACCAGCTCTTCAAACCCCAGTTGGCCATTCCTTATCACGGAAACTACGGTATTGCATAAATAAACAACCTAACAAGCCTTCTGTCACGAGCAACCTCTGGAACCGCGCCTCAAGGGTCGCCTGAAACATTCCAACTCTCCCTCCGAAAGCCATCTACTTATCTACCGGTATCAATCTATCTCATAGTTTTTGTTCTCATGTTCAAGCTTCTTCTTACCGCGACGTTGCTGTGGGTGCTCCCCGAAGTCGCTTTCGGGGTCAACGGAACCGTCCGTGCTGGTGTTGGCTCCCAAGCTCTAAAGGATGGCATTGTCGACAGTTCTGTTGATAACCTTGACGATGCCCTGCTTCTCAACCAGGTCGATTCACGCCACCGACAGCTGGCTGGACCCGTCGTTGCTCTTTTATGGAAGGCTGGTTCTGCTATAGGAACAGGTACCGCTGTGCTTGAGACGGCGACAAACTGTGGGACATTTTCGGTGCCGCCTGGACCGCCAATGATGATAATCCTCTGTGGGGTACACAGCATGCTTCTCCCACGATCAACATTTTTGCCGATGAAACCACCTTGCGAATTTTCATTCAACAACCAAACCCCATAGGGGAATACGAGGACGACGATCCTGCTACTATTGAAGGGACAGTGAAAGTGGCTACCAAGATTGGCAATGTGGATGCTTGGAATTTTTCGCTGACATTCCGGTATGAGGACGGTTGGACTGAGGATGGGTTGTTCCTGAATGGGTGGGTGAAACATCTCATGAAGCCGACAGCGCCAGGACACGAACGCGACCTTGGAACGTTCGGGAGGGAAATTGTCGTTTCGAATTATATCAAGAACGAATGGAACTCGGACGCAACGATTGGATCCAATGGTGGGAGGCCATGGGAAAAGCATCCCGGCGACGTACATTACGACTGCGTGACCAAAAACTTCATGGAAACTGTAGGAAGCATCAATAGTTGGTCGTTTGTGCTCGTGGCTTCTCATGTGGACAGCCTTGAAGCCAAGGGCGATCCCCATTTCCAGACTTGGAGTGGCCGTGGGTTCGACTATCATGGGGTAAGCCAAACATAATGCTGCTGATTGAAGAAGAAGGCGGCACTCGCTTGCCCCTCTCTTCGCCTTTGGTGCGCACACGTCCAAGGAGTGTGATTTGGTGTTGCTGTCAGCGCCAAACTTCCTGTACGGTCCACTTGACATTCACATTCGCACCAAGAGTCGCTATGGTTAGTAAGCTTGAACAGACGCTGTCTTGCTTGCACTGCTGCTTTGGCTTACGAATTCTTTCTCCTTTTCTTTCAAACGGTGCAGACTACTCCTACATTGAGACGGCAGCCGTTCGAATTGGAGAGGATATCCTAGAAGTATCCAGTTGGGGAGATTATGCCCTCAATGGAGTGGACGGAGCGTTAGGTCCAAATGGACATGAGGTTCCCATTTTGGGAGGGTACAGTGTCAGCTACAGACAAGCTGATGACAAGAGACATGTCTTCGAGATTCGAAATGATAAAGTTGGAGCGCACATCAAGGTCTCTTCTTTCAAAGATTGGGTCAATGTCGAGGTGCTGCCGGTCCCCCCAGAGAGCTTTGTCGGGAGCTTTGGCTTGATGGGAAGCTTCCCTACCGGCCAGATGTTGGCTCGAAATGGGAAGACTGTCATGGACGATCCAAAAGCTGTCGGCCAAGAGTGGCAAGTCCTTCCTTCTGAGCCCAGCCTCTTTCGGGTCGCCTCTTCGGGCTCCGATCGATGCATTCTACCTGATCAAGTCAAGGCCAGCAAAGCCCGTCGTCGACTAGGAGAGTCTGTCTCCCGTAGCCAAGCGGAAGTAGCCTGCGTCAAATCCTCTCGCTTTAAAGACTTGGAAAATTGCATCTTTGATGGTAAGACGAAACTGCTCGTTCCTTGCCTCGTTTGCTGCCCAGAATCGCTAATCTGCTTTCGCTTGTGCTCAAAACAGTCATGGCCAGCGGAGACATCGAAATGGCTCTCAATGGCTTGTGAAAACTAGGTTAGGCGCAATTTCTGCACGGTTTGCATGTCATAGCAGTACATACACATCCATATTCATTCATGAGAAAGGTTCAGGTCTTGAGGCTGAGGAACCGGGCCCAATTCATTCTTTTGCGTTGCATTTCCAGATTCGATTCAGACAGCATGTACGCTACCGAATCGTTTGAAAACTAGATCATCTGGGGCCCTCCACACCATCACCAACGTCGACCGATTCCAGACGTGGAACACGCTTCTCCGAATGTCGGTTCTTCAACGATCGGTTCCGTGAAGTCTAGTACTAGTGGATAGGTAGAGTTGTTAATGCAACAATTGAAAATGCCTAAGGCTAGTCTAATTCCTCTAGAATGGAATCATCCGCCTCCAGGAGTGCTTGCGGTGGTGGACTATCTATGTCAAAAACGTATCAATTCCTCTCCATTGTCGTCTAGGACGATTATGACCCATGATTTAGTGATCCCAGAAAAGCATGTTTCAAGGTGTCAGCCGCGCTTGGGCGTTGCTCCAGAGCATTGTTGGTAAGCAAGCGGACGAGGTTGTGCCCGGGCTCGTCTAGTTGGTCCCACGACTGCAAAAGTATCCCAAATTGCCACATGTCGGCCGATGCAGTCGATCGAAAACCGGCCGTCGTAAACTCTGGAGGCTGTAGAGCAGGGTGGTAGTCTCCTGGTTCTGAATTATCGTAATCTGCGACGGGATACAGCTTACAATTCAGCTTTACAGCTTTACAATTAGCAGGCTTATTCTAGAAATAATCAATAACTGCTCCTTATTGGAAATACAATTTTACATCTCTTAGATCGTTAGATTAATCAATCCAAATGGTATTGTCGCATGGTAGCATGCGAGGTTATGAGATTTACTCATTCTTATTCTTATATGTCTATCCTTATGGTTGTCAATGGATTGCTACTCCTTGATGCAGATGCTCCAGAGTTTCCTTTGCATCTTCATCGTAGTCTCTTCCCTTTATTGCAACTTAATTCCCTTGGATTCGCTCGTAAGCAATCCTCTCTTTGTGGTGATTCGCTCGTAAGCAATCAAACCATGGACTCCTACAGGAGTCCACCTTTCATCCTGTCGTTGATCGAAATCGCGATGAGGATCCGCATACGTTATAACGGTGAATCCTATCCGTGATAGCCATGCATCATTCATCGTCGCGACAACAGAGGTCGCGATCGCGAGAATCGCGATGAGGATCCGCCTACGTATACGGTGGACTCCTATCCGTGATAGCCATGCATCATCTCATCGGTCGCGATCGATCGATCCAAGTTAACAGATCGATCCAAGTTAACAGAATTCATCGAAAAATGAGCTCCATCTGCGATGAGGCTCGGCCTGTGTGTCATGCATTGAGTCATGCTTCGGGAGCCATTTCACCCTCTATTATGGATTCGAATCACCGGAGCTTAAGTCTTTTATTGAGTCAATGCTTCAGTTCCTCACTTTTTCATTAACTCGACGGAGAGGTACACTGATGTTGTTTTGAACACGGAACGACGATCCATCGCTCGGGTTAACAACAAACTGCCGATCGATAACAACAAGCTGCCGATCGATAACAACAAGCTCAGTCTACCTAGGACTGGCATTGTCGTTTTGCCTGGCTTCAGATAACTGGCTTGCAGTTTGGTCGTTTGAACTGTCGCTTGAAGTACTCGGAGGATTCGCTCGCTCTACAACAACACGAGCGATCGGCTTTGAATTCAAACTCGACGACGAATCCACTACGTTGGTGGATCCTTCGAAGCTCCCTTCTAAAGCTCATAAATTCCATCTTCGATTGACTCGATTGACTGGATATCCACCGGCTCCTCTTGTTGCCACTGCTGCTCCTCTGCTGTTGACCTGTTGATTTCACTGCCTCCTATTTCATCAGCTATTGATGGACTTGACGACGCTTCTCTGCTTCAGCATCTTCATCATCATCACTTCAACTTCTTCAACAGTACCAGCACCAGCGCCATTCTTCAGTCCTAGAGGAATTGTCCAAGCTTTCTTTGACCAGATCCCATTGAGCCACTATCAGACCCAACCATGACTGCAGCACATTGACCAGTTCATTCCAGGAGCTCTCCAGCACATTGGGAAAACCAAAGAAAAGACCAAGCTTACAGAAGCCCCACGACTTGGAGGTATCAACACACTGGAGCCTGGACAGGATCTGGCTCAGATGGACTGGGAAAGGACCTCAAAGCACCCTATGCCTCAGGGTTTCCATGGTGACGACCATCTGAAACATCACACCACACTCAGCCTATGAATTGGCATGCAAGAAAGGACTGAAGGATTCCACCAGTCTACTATTCTCCACTCTGACTGAGTCCAATGCTTCTGGGTCTCATGTGCTAGCCTCTCTTATCGCCTTTGAAAGTATGATGACAGAACATGGAATGGAAGGGGTTTCCAGCTTGTTGTTGGAGACCTTAATACCAACACTATTAATAAAATCAACATGTTCCTGCTCCTGGACAGGTTTCAGATCTATGATGGAAAAATGGCATCAGGACCTCACAGTCAATGGGGTGACTCATCGATGCTGGAACTCTGAAGCAACATCTGTTTGCCAGTATGATTTGACAAACCTTGCCTGTCAGGAAAGGCTGTTCTAAATTCTTGCCTGATGCTCTCCAGGAGAACTCAAATCTATGTTCCTGAGCAAACACAATGGGCCCAACTTCTCTTGGCTCTTCTGCAGAAATATACAGACCTTCTCTCAGTAAGATTGAAACCTCAAAGCCAAGCTACTCCACTTGGACATCACCAAGTTCCTGGGGAGAATGTTTCCATGTATGTTGTGATGAAAGCAAGATCATCAAAGAGATTCGATTAAACTTTATGTCCAGTGATCCTTGCCTGAACTAACCAGCACATCCCTGAGAGGTCTCCTTGGCTGTGGTTGTCCATACTTTCGATCCAAAGTCCATGAGCTTGTTGTCAGAGTGACATCAACGGATTTGATAGCAACTATGGAACAAACAATTGGAAGCACTCGACACTTTGAATGACTTGGATGCCTCTATCGGGTCTCATCAACCAGAAAATTATGAGCCTGCCAACATCTTGGATCCAAGGGATCCCAGGCCAAAGCCTTCAGGCAGCAATTGACAAAGCAGTTGAGGCAAAGTTGGGAGTTTCACTCAGGATCGAAACAGTGGATCACCAGTGGCGGTACCGTCCTCTGGAGGCGCCTGCTTTGATGTGGAGCTACTGATCATCATGAACGATCCAGCATGTCCCAAGGGAGGTGCTCCCAAGGAAACAGGTCTGAGTGCTGAAACCAACTCAAACTCACAACTCTTATCAAAGACAAGCTTGCTTCCATGCCTCCAAGGAGAACATTCCCGATGATGCCAACCACACCATTTCTGTTGATGGGAAGGTGGTTGCTAATACTGTCGCAACTGTGGAAGGTTCTCCAAAGGACAGTGCTCATTTCACCATAACATCGTGGGTTCCGCAAGTTTCCTTACAAGGCACCTCTTTCGGTGGCAACACTCCTCCA